CCTTCTCCCTCAATGCCTGGATCTATACCATCTATGCTTTTCTTCTTTTTTTTCTCTGGAATTTGAGCAAACTGAGCTATCACCGATTTAATATTTGGGGAGTTTTAAAAAAACTTTTTGAAATTTTGAAATACAAGAAGTTACAAAATAGTACATAGAGTCCCATGAACCCTTCACCCAGCTTCCTTTAATACTGACATCTTATATGACTGTAGTAAAATAGCAAAACCAGGAAATTGACGTTGGTACAAGACTGTTAACTAGACTACAGAATATCTGAGTTTTTAAAAGCACACAGATTCTGAAGTCATAAAGTAATACTTTTAAACACAAATAACATATGTCTTCATATAGGGTGAGGAGGTTGACAGGGAGTGTAAAATACTCTCAAAGCAGGAGCCTGGTGTGATGCTAGGTGTGAAACACCCAGGGGCAGTTTTAATAGCGTGGTCGGTCCCAAGGTCAGGGGCGTACACTCAGAAGAGGAAAGGCCTGCAGGAAGTGGAGGACCGCGGACTGGGCAGAAGGAAAGGAAGCTTGCTGGTTCAGTAGGAATTCAGTTGTGACGATTCACCCAGAGCCAGGTCGTAGCCACGTTTAACTGTCCTGATACTCTCGTAACAAGATGGGTAAGTCCCCTCATTTGGAGAAAAGTGTACATGACATTTGTAGAAGAGGAATGATTTTTTTAAAAACAGACTTTATTTTTTAGGACAGTTTTAGGTTCACAGCAAAATTGAGAGGAAAGTATAGAGATTTCCCATGTACCCCCTGCCCCTACTCATGCACAGCCTCCCCGGTTATCAATGTCACTCACCAGATGGTACATTTTTACTAAGGGTGAACCTACACGGACACATCATTGTCACCCAAAGTCCATAGTTTACCGTGGGTTCACTCTTGGTGTTGTATATTTAATGGGTTTGGACAAATGTATAAAGACATGTATCCATCATTGTAAGATCATACAGAGCAGATTCACTACCCTAAAAATCCTCCTATTCATCCCTCTTTCCCCCCAACCCCTGGCAACCATTCATCTTTTTACTGTAGTTGTACCTTTTCAGAATGTCATAGAGTTGGAATCATACAGTCTGTAGCCTTTTCAGATTGGCTTCTTCCACTTAGGAATATGTACTTACCGTTCTTCCATGTCTTTATCGTGGCTGACAGCTCATTTCTTTTGGGCACTGAATAATATCCCATTGTCTGGAGGCACCACAGTTCATTTATCGTTTCACCTACTGATAGACATCTTGGCTGCTTCCACGTTTTGGTGATTATGAATAAAGCTGCTATAAACCTCTGTGTGCAAGTTTTGAACTGGGTTTTCAACCTGCCGTTGAAAACGTGTGGACGTCCGTGCCTGTGTTCCCATTCACATGAGTTACATTTTATTTAGAAAAAAAAAAAAAAATGTCGCCCTCTCCCCTGTCTTTGGATGGGCGATGAGGTAAGGGCTTATTTCAGTCTTTTATTTGGTGTCTCTCTTCACTCTCTCAGACACAGGATCGTTCGCAGGAGCAAGTGATGACGCTTTGTGTCTAATTAGCAACTTCTGATTGCTCACGCCTGCCATGGCTTGTTCTGCCTCCTCTCACTGGACAGAAGGAGGTGGGTTCCAGCATGGTTTCAGTGTTTCAGTCTGGCTCACTGGCTTCTGATCGTGGAAATGGGGTTGCTTTTGGCTGAATTTACAGCAGCATGGGGGGAGCAGGGGTGAGGGTTAGATGCCTTTGGCCGGCAGAGGGAACTGAGAAGAGAGAGGTCATGGAGAAAACCCACCCCCATCATCCTTTCTGAGCCTGGAGCTAGCTAAGGAATTCGCTATAAATAAGCACCGCAAGAGGCACTACTGTGCAAGAAGGGCTTTCTTTGCTCTCTCCTGCCAGACCGCTCAGCTGTTCTGGGTGAGATGGTCTGAGTCACAGTGTGCTCTGCCCCTCATCAGGACTCCACTCAGCACCCCCGGGTCAGGCTGCAGTCATCATAAGTCCCTTGGGGGCCATCTGCCCACTGTGTCAAGTAGAAGGTCCTAACTGGCTGTGTTCCTTGACCTTTGGCCTAGTTCTAACTCCTCTAAGCGCTAAACTTCCCTTTACTCATTTAAAAGGATGACTGGATTATCTGGAAAATTCCTTCTAGCCTTAATAATGCCTAGGACCACGGGTCATAGAATCCCCCACCACCTGCCCCAGTACTTGGAGCTGTCCTATCTGTAAAAGCATCATCGTATTCGAGGAATTTTTACATTCTTTGCTGCCTTTTCTGAAGGACGGCGTTCTGATCGTCTGCTTGGGGGTGGGGGGGTTGGTCAAAGCCCTGGATAGTTAGATACAGATGCGGTCTTTGGCAGAACTAGGGAAAGAGGTGGATGTCTGAAACAGTAAACACTGAACCAGTACGTTCTTGGAGTTCAGATGTAGTTGGGTTGTTTGTAAACGGCATTGCAGTCAATCAGTGTTAGCTTCCAGAAGGATGCTACGCTAATGTATGACACTTGAGGATTGCAAGGGCCACACCAGTTCTAGCTGCCCCCCCCCCTTTATTTTAAAGTGTACATTTGTCCGAGTCCCCCACTCATTCCCAGTTTGTTTGCACTTAGATATCAGAAGTGGGAGGGGGATTACTTGAAACTTCCATTTGCTGGCCCCCATTAGGTGTAGGAGGTGATGAGGGAGAAAATCTCTGCTCTGTAGCCAGAACGCCTGAGGCTCTAGGCGTTACCGACACCCGGGCCGGGAAGGCACCAGGTCTGGGTGTGGAGTGTGAATACTTAGCTAGAAGCTCCGAGGAATGTCAACCGCCTCGTGCCCTCAGAGCTGGACCCTGGTCAGACACATCATCCGGATGACGAGATTAAAGATGTGCCTTCCCTGGTGTGGACCGCTCTCCCGCTGAGCTGAGACCCACAGTTGTTTTCAAGCTTGGACCCCCATCCCCTGGCTTGCCTTTCAGCGTGTGCAAAAAAATCGGTAGGCAAGTACAGGCACGCGGGTACACCAGGTACACTGGGTCCTCCGGGAGAGACAAGTGTGCAAGCCTGTAGGGCTGCAGCCGTCCCCACCCCGGCCCCAGCGATCTGGAGGCGGCGACTTTCCGGCGCGGGCGCCAGCGCTCCCTCGCTGCTATTTTCCTCTTTGGATCAGACCATTCTTATTTCAGGAGTGGAGTGGGACTCTCTCTGGGGCGCTATAGGGTGTCATCTCTGGCATTTGCTCCCGGTACAGAAAAACAAGTCCAAATGCAGTGCACTCGGGTTTCTGAACAGCTGCCCAAGCGCCGAAACCAGACTGTCAGCAAAGCTGTGGGAGGAAGGAGAGCAGGGACTCAGGAGAGGGAGGTGGGGGTGGGAGTGGGGGGGGTACCCAGGGTGGGGGCGGGGCGGGGGGAGGAGGAGGTCAAGGGCACCCTTTCGGTAGGCGACGCTCGTCCCTGGGCTGGGATGCGGGGAAAGTGGGGGATTCCCGGGCTAGTAGGGTGCCTAGAGTGGGCGTCGGGGCGCGGGGCGTGGGAAGGGGTCGGGGGTACCGCCGGGTGGTCAACACTGGGCGCTCCGCGACCCTGGGCGGGCTGGGAGGGGGATGCCTGGACTGGGGGTGTGCCTGGGGTGGAGGTCCGGCTGGGGGGTGGTTTGGGGCACCCGCCCGATGGGCGACGCTGGGCGGTCCCCGCCTCTGGGCAGGCTGGGGTGAGGGGAAGGGGGAGGCCGGGGGGGGGGGGGGCAGGCGGGAGCAGCTTGACGGCCGCCAGGGAGCGGGCGCCGTCCCAGCCGAGCCATGCGGTACGTGAGCGACGTGTGGCAGCCTCTGCGCAGACTGTTCCGTGGCGGTGTGGGTTTCAGCGAGCGCCGCCTCCTTCCAATCACGGCGCAGCCCAGCGTGAGGGATACACCTCTGCAGGGCAGGGCTGCGCTGCGCACCGAGGCATCACGTTCCAAAGTCACAAACATGCCATGCCCTGTGCGGGCGGCAGCCCCCGCTCAAAGCAGCCCAGATCTTCACGGGGCGGCCACCGACCTGACTACACGACTGCCACATGTCGCCTCCTGATGCAAAGCTGCGGGGACCGGGGATGCAGAAGGGACACATACACCAAAAACTGGCGAGGAAGAGATGCAGTAGGGCTGCGCCGGTTAAATGGCACGAATTTTAGGGGTTTGCACAATCATGGTGACGCCTCCCAATAGTTATTCCGGGGCTTGCAGCCAAGTAATGAATTGCAGGTCGGAATAGGATCTATTTTATTTCCTCTTTTACTCGGAGAGATAAAGGTATATCGAAAATATTGTAAACGGTGACCGTGAAAACCAAGATGCCACGTTCCATTTTGGTCCAGCCTCCGGGTCTCTCCCACCCCCTCCTCGTGCCCGACATTCCGGGACCCGGGGTTCCAGGTCTTGGGGGCTAGGTGTCGGGGGAGCTATGTTCAGCACTAGTTGGGGTTTCTAAGGAATTCAGGAAATTGGGCGTGGTGAGGACGAAGGACCAGGGAAGCCCTCTCCCCGTGAGTGGCGGGGCCCGTGGTGGGTGACTCACAGGTATTATTAGGGAGCAGCTCCGGCAAGGAGTGACCCACAGGCGCTCTCAGCATCCTCCCTCTGGCTTCCCTCTAGGGTAGCAGAGGCAACACCCCCCACCCCCGCCCCCGTCCCCTCTAACCTCTCTGCAACCTTTAACCCGAAACCCGCGTCTTCACCTTGACTGTGCCTGACCCGGAGCGCGTGCTAAAAATGCAGAGTATGGGGTTCCCATTCCCAGAGAGACCGAGTCCGCAGTATGCATTAAGCATGCCAGGTGATTCGGCAGAGGGGCTTCGTGGACCACAGTGGACGGTGCTGTTTCTTTCCTCCCAGCTCAGTTGAGTTGACTATTCTGGGAGGCTGCGCAGGTCGCTTTTAGGGGATGATAGGAGGAGGCCCACGGAGTAGCACTTTCAGCCAGGGCTGGTTTAGGGCGTTATCCGGGGGACCTCAGTAGCCGGGCGCGCCGGTGTCGCCGGCCTGCAGGGGGCGCCAGCAGGCTGTCTCCTGGCTGGGCCACCCTCCTTCCACGTGAAAGGGGGATGGAACACGAGGAATGCGTCCCCGCCCCGGGGCTGACGTGTGCGTCTCTGCCGGCCCGGATTCTTAAAAGCCCGGGAGGAGCGCTGGGCATCCCAGCAGAGCCAGAGAGGAGGTGAGTTGTTGTGGACCGCGGCGCACTCGAGCCAGCGCACAGGGACCGCGGCTGTCACGGCGCTCCGAGCATCCCGGGGCTTCCCGAGCGGAAGAGTCCATCCCTGCGGGAGCTGCGGGTGCAGCCCCAGCCCTCCCGCTCCTCTCTGGGAGCCTCACGCCTCGGGCGAGCGTCCGTGATTTAGCACAAAGCACGTGTCCAAACAGCCGCGCTCTCACGCACGCACCCCCCCCCCCCTTTGTTTCGGGGGGTCGCCAGACCGCTCTCCTCCCCAAGTCCGAATTCTTCAGAAGGGGCGGAGGGCCGCCGAGTCTCGGCTGAGAAGATGCCCCTGGAGCTGACTCAGAGTCGGGTGCAGAAGATCTGGATCCCGGTCGACCACCGCCCCTCGTTGCCCAGATGTGAGTGCAGACGTGCGCGGGGCCGGGCTGCCGGGGAGGGCGCGCCGTGTGGACAGCGAGGCCATTGTGTGGCGGGCGCCGGCCGAGCGCTTTTGTGCCGGCTCCCCTCCTCCGGCGCGCTCGGGCGGGCCGGGCGCCGCCCTCCACGCCGTCCCCGAGGCCCGGCCCAGGCGCCCCCAGCTCCTCCCCGCCGGCCTTGGCGCGAGGCGGGGACGGCGCGGGCGCTGCGCCTACCCTGGCCGGCGTCGGGGGCGCTGTGGCCCGGCCCGCGGTCTCCGCGGAGCTCCACTCCGCTCGCGCCGGGAGCGCAGAGGGACCCGGAAACGGCGAGCGCACGGGACGGGAAGCGCGGAGCGCGGCAGAAGGTCTCCGCTTCGGGGAGGCGTGGGAAGGGACGCCTGCGTGTCCCCCGGCCCGGGCCCCGCTCCTGGGCGCCCGCCGCGCCTCCGCGGGTCTCAGCCCCCTTTCTCTGTCCGTCGCTACCTCCCCTCCTCTCTCTCCCCCTCCTTCCCTCCCTCCTTTTTACCTCTTTCCATCTCGCCTTTCCCTCCTATATATTTATCTCTCAACCTCTGTATTTCCACTCCCTCTCACCCCATCTTTCTATATGTTTCTCTCTCTTTATATATCTTCTGTTTTTCTCTCCTTCTTTCTATGCATTTCTAATCTCCTCTCTCTAGTTCTGGTTTTTACCTGTCTTCTCTCTCTTTACTGCTGTCTACCTCCCTCCTCTCTTCCTTTCCCCGCTCCCACCTCTAGCTCCTGTGCTGGGGCCTACAAGAGAGTTGTCTGGAACCAAGTCTTTGTGCAGGTTTTGGGGGGGGGTGTGTCTGCGGGTGGGTGACTGCACAGTTGGCAACGTTTCCCACGTGCGCGCGTGTGCACACACACTCACTGAGCTTGGAGTTTGCCGGCAGTTCACCTCCTCGCCCTGTCCGTCGTGGCCCATAAATGCTTTGGGAAGGTTTACCTTGGGCTCCGTCCCCAGCCAGGGAGAGAGCACCTCTTAAAAGGGTGGTGTGGGTGGTTTGAAGGCGACACTCCTCCTCCAGGGAACCCGCCCAGGAGCCTGTCAGGTGGCCAGGCTGAGACAGCCGTGTTTTGCTCCAGGTCAGGTCAGGTTGCCTGAGAGGTAAACGGGGGCTTCCAAGTGCAAACGCTCCAGGTGGCTTTTAGGCATCCACAGAGCCTGGGCACTAGGTGGCCTGCTGACCTTCTCTGCTGCCACGTTTCTCAGGGGATGGTCACCAAGGCCACGGTGACAGCTCCTCTCCCCAGGCTTTGCCCAGGTGTGAATCACCCCCCCCGCCCCCCACCAACCCCGGACCTGCCCCAGGAGCTTGGGAGAGCTGGCCCTGGGGTGCTCCTAGGTTGTCCTGTTGATGGGGACCTGGCCAGGTGCTCCCCACACTGGGGGCGGGGGGGGTGCTCCTCCACCAGCTTGACCCCTCTGGTCCAGCGGGCTACAGAAGCCTGAAGGACAGCTGGGCTTCTTTACAAGGTAGCCGAGGGCTGGGGGCCTTTCAGGTGTCTTGTTCCACCGGCCTTTCAGGTATGCTCTTACATAGCTCGCTGAACAGGCTGACCACGGTCTGGTTGTATTTCTGTAAAACACTGGTAGTGAGGAATGCCCCGCCTGAAATCCTGAGGGAGATGGCGAGATGCAGAAACAGCCCCAGCCTTTTTGACTTTTGAATAAAAGATATTTATGGAGTGCTCGGTGAACTGTAATGGGTCATACAAATAATGGGTTGGTTCTCTAAACGCCTGTATGTATGCGCATACAAATGCACACACACATTTAGTCGTTCCCTGGGGTTCACGGTGGGGTGAGAGCTGGGAGGTCCAGCCAGTGCCGGGGTACTGAGATTGGCTGGCGTCCGCTCAGCCGCGTGATTGTGAGAGACACAAGTATGCAGCCATGCTTTTCCTCCAGGCTTCACAGACCCATCCATTAGAATCTATCAGTCTGCACGTCTCACACGCAGATGAGAGATTTGCCTGAAAATCCCTGTCGGAACAATTCACGGCTTGAGGTTGGGGGTGGGGGGGCTTGCTAAAGCTGATGGATTAAGTCTCCTGTCCCCGCCCACTCCTGGAATCCCTGCGTGTGGCTGTGGGGTTATGTTTTTTTCTTATGAAAATATCTGTACCCTGGATATTTACTGCTTACATGCCATTATTTTAAGTAGCAGTGTCTGTCACCGTTTATATAGTCACATTTGTCTCTCATCCAATAGCGAAGAGAGGGTATCCCTTCTTGGCGTCTTTCCAGATTCCCTGCCCCTCCCCCCTTCTTTCATGGCATTCGGAACACTGGGTGGATTTTCTCCCTTCTGAACCTGTTCCCGTCTTTCTAAGTGCTGTCCTGGTTGGGGGTGTACAGCAGCCTCCTCTGAGATGTGAAAACTACAAGAGGGCGGCGGAAACACTACTGCTGATTATAAAGAGCAGTCACACAAGCACAGTACAAAGCCCCAGATTGATTCGTTTGGTGGTATTTCCACCTCTGAAACACATCGGTTAGGGGCCCCGTTGCTACACCTTCATGGTGGTAAGTGCTTCTTACAAAACCTGCAGCTTCCTTCAAGCGCAGACCGTAACTCAGGGAGACTTACTGACTTGGTGAATCAGCTAAATGTACAAAGAAGTAAATCCTCGACTGGCGATCCTTTCTGTTTGTCCTCACAGAAAGCTGAGAGTTCTGTGTACAGGTCTGGACTTACTTATCGTTTCCCCACTCAGAATCCAGTTTCCTCATCTCTGTAAAGTAGGTTGTGTACTGTCTGCTGAGAGGAGGTTTCATCTCATCAGGGGCTTAGCTCCACTGATGGTTTTCCAACTTAAAGAGGGAAGGAAGGGAAGGAAACCTTCCAGAAATATCCTGACCTTATCCTTGGGTGGCCACTATAATTTATAGAGGTGATTCTTGGCCCTGACTTCACATTAAAATCATTTAGGGGAGACTTTGGGAAAAAAATCCATGCTGGTACCCCACACCACGTGAGAATTGCTGAAGGTGGGGCCCGGGCATCCTGGTTTTAAAAAGCTTCTTAGGTTCAGCCACTGGTTGAGAACCACTGATTGAGGAAGGAGGGACTGAAGGATTGCGGGTGAGAAAGACGGAGGTGAGCTCCAGGTCTGTCCCTCACTGCCTGTGCAGGGGGACCTCCTTCACTTGTGGGTCCTAGTTCCCTCGTGTCTGGGATGATGAAGCCTTAATGGCTGATGGAGGCCAACGTAGCAAGTATCTTACACATATTATCTTGTGATTAATCCTCCCGAGAACCTTTCTGAAGCATCCCTGCATTTCACAGAAAGGGAAAACCGAGACCCTGAGAGATCAAGTAACTTGTCCACGGCCCGAGGAAGTGCCAGGGCCCGGCTTTGAACTCTGCTTGGCTCTAGACCCTCTCAGCCACCATGCTCTTGTGTTGTCAACTGATTCACTAAAATGCCCATCCCTCGCTGTCTGCCGGAGAGCGTGTCGGGTTGGGAGGACCGTTTGCTGCACAAAGGTTAGGCGCGAGTTAAAATGTGCGTGCAAAGCAATGAATGAGTTTGGCATCCACCACATAGTCCAGAAGAGCTTTGAAAAGAGATTTTGCTGAGCTGGGGTCTCTCCACCCCGCAGAGCCTCAGCCCGCCTGCCTGGGGCAAGCTCACTTAGATGTTTTGTTTTTTTTTTTTAAGATTTTTTTTTTTTTTGATGTGGACCATTTTTAAAGTCTTTATTGAATTTGTTGCAACATTGCTTCTGATTTATGTTTTGGTTTTTTGGCCACGAGGCATGTGGGATCTTAGCTTCCTGACCAGGGATCAAACCCACAGGCCCCGCATCAGAAGGCGAAGTCTCCACAACTGGACCGCCAGGGAAGTCCCTAGATGTGTATTCTTAACACGGACCAAGCAGACTCTCTGGGCTGGTGTGATCTCAGGAGAGGGTTTGTGTCCACCGGAGCACAGTCCAGGGCCAATCACATGGACCCATTCCCCGGAGAGCCCTCCTTGGGCAGTGGCATCACCGCAGGGTCACAGCCCTTGCCGGGCAGCGTCAGGGGAGCAGGTTGCCATGGTTACTGTAGACACCCGGCCGTGGAACTTCCATGGGGCTATCCTGAGCACTGGCCCTGTCTACAGCTACAGCTTGGCTGTCAGTCTTCCATTAGTTCCCCTGAAACTCGGCACTGAAACATGACTTACCTACTCGTAGGGAAAGAGCACAAGTGATGTGGCATCTTTTTGAGGTTAACATTTAGGAGCGCCTCTGAGTAGAAGAAAGCTTGCAGGAGGTATGGGAGCAGCGGCAAAGTGTCTTCCATTGGTTTCTTTTATTTTCTGAGCCTGCGTTGTGGTGTCCATGCCGCGGGCCGGGACAGCTGTCCTGCCTGCTTGAGGCAGTGGGTTACATAGATCAGAGAGGTTAGCAGCTCAGTCAGGGAGCAGGGCTGGAATTGGAACCTGCGAATGCAGCCTCTGTCCAGGGGCTTCAGACGATTGCTTCTTTACCCCACTAACCTCTGTGTATCCCCTTACACACAAGTACTTTTTGGAAAATCTCTGTGCTGTTGGGGAGGAAGACGAAAAGGCAGAGCTCCAGGGAGGAAGGTATGAGAGGTGGGAGGGTTAAAAAGGTCTGCAGAGAAGAAGAAACTGAGAGTCAGAGGGGATTATAGGACCGTGAAAGCACTTTGAGATGTGTTGTGAGTTTAAAAAAAGAGGGGGCAGGGATGAAGAAGAGTAAAACCCGAAGGTTTAGCCACAAGGTTTTGTGGTTTCCCTTCTGTCTTGGGGACCCCTGGGCGGAGGGGCAGCTGCAGGCACCTTTGGCCATCCCTCTGGCAGCTCTCTGAATCTCACGCAAGAAGCCAAAGGAAGAGAGGAATCATTTCTGCTTCGCCAGACAAAGGAGGGATGGTTTGTTTGGGTTTGAGATCCAGCTTGAATTTTTGGCTTCAGATATGTACTCTGCCATGTCTTTATGGGTTTTTTTTTTTCCTCCCCAAGTGTCTACTGCCAGAGATTTGTGCATACGACTAGTGGATATAGAAGTAATTCCCGATTTGATAAATCAGTCAGTCTCTGTCTCTGTTTCCTTGGCATGAGTCCAACAAAAGTATTCCATGTATGTGCACAGCTGAGAGTGTGTGTGTGCGCGCGCGTGCACGTGTGCACGTCTGTCTCTGTGTGTGGATGCTCTTGAGAGCGGTGGCATGTGGGGACATCAGATAAGACCAGGGGAAAACCGGTGGCTTGGGGGAAGGGTGAGCAGAATGAGTATCGTTTCCAGGCACAAGCGAGGACACTTTCACTTTCTCATGTGTCACCTGCAGTTGCCGGAGTGACACATGGCCGACCGGTGCGTCTTTGCCCCACTCGTGTGCTCACGCAGGGCAGGGAAATGGCCTCTGTTTTCTAGGAACCTGTTTGTTCCCGGCCGATGGCTGCTGGGGAATCCCAGCCAAGAGTTTCTGTGGCTCCCTCGTGTCTCCTGGCCTCCCGATGGCCTTTTTCCTTCTCCTCCTCGCTCTGTGTGGAGAAGGTCACCGATGGTCTAGAAACATGAAAGGAGACACAGCCCCTGTGTGCGGTGCTTGCTGCCTCTGTGGCCCCAGCCTGCAGGTCCAGGAGCAGACCCTGCAACAGCATGGCCGGTGTTTGGGCACGTGACCTCAGTTTGGCCCCCAGGCCCAGCATCATGGGGCTGTGTTGGGGTGTCCAGCTTAAGAGGAGGCATCTCCTCAAGCCTGTGCTGTCAGTAGCCTGGTGGCCCTCCCTGCCTCCCATCTGCTGGTCAGGGAGCGGGCAGGCGGCTGGTCTCTGGCTCCCATGGGCAGCCCCAGGCTCGAGAACACTCTCGTCACCAGGATGCCGGAGCATCTCAGGGGCAAGACGCCAGCCGAGGAAACACTGCATCTGAAATGTCCAGAACAGGGTTCTTTGGGCTGCTTTCTTCAAACCCAGTGAAAACCTCTCTCCCTGCTGTTTTGTTGAGATTCCGAGGAACATGGGACAGTGGTTCAGCAGCAAAGTCAGGAGGGGATTTTGCAAGTCCCCTTTGACTTTCAGCAAAGTCAGGCAAGACCCTCTGGGTTTCTAGGGCCCCTGCCAGGGCCCATGTGATCTGGTGGAAGCGGGGAGCAGGAAGGGGCAGGAGAGTCTCAGGGACAGATAAATTTGTGGGAGTCAGACTCCGGGTCCCTGACCTACTTGCATTTGATAAACTCTTACTTGTGAAAATTGCCTTTTAAAAATTACTTATTTTAGGAAGGCCATGCAGACTTCGTGCATGGCGGTGCAGACATTGACAATAGGCTTCTGTCTGTAATTTGGCCACCGCTGGGGCCCCACCCCCAGGGCTCCTACTTGCCGCCTCGATTTACGTGTTATGTTGCATCAGAAACAACCTCTCCTACTGATAACCTCATCATCACTGGTGAGCCATACAGTGTACCCCAGCGGTGCTTTCTGCTCTGGGGTTAGTAATTTGTTCCTGGTTGGGTTTTGGGCCCTCAGGTGTCAAGCTGGGAATTTGGGGTCCCTGCCGTGTGGACCTCAAAGCAAAAGGGAGCTGTGTGACCAAGGGCTCTGGCCACCAGGGGCCCAGTCCCGCTGGATTGTAAAATGTAGGGGCTTTGAGGTGGGAATGAAAGCTGTGTTTCCGTGGAATTCTTTCTTTTCTTTTCTTTTCTTTTTTTTTTGCCGCACCGTGAGGCTTGCAGGATCTTAGCTCCCTGACCAGGGATCGAACCCATGCCCCCTGCGTTGGGAGCACGGAGTCTTAAATGCTGGACTACCAGGAAAGTCCCTCGTGGAATTCTTTAAAGCCTGTTGTGGGCCCCGCTGGCTGCTTTATTCATGGCCCTTTCTGTGTTGCTCTCCCCAGCCTGTGGGCCGAAGCTCACCAACTCCCCAACGGTGATTGTCATGGTGGGCCTCCCAGCCCGGGGGAAGACGTACATCTCCAAGAAGCTGACCCGCTACCTCAACTGGATTGGCGTCCCCACGAAAGGTGAGCCTGCGCCCCCAGGCCGGGGCTGTCAGGCTGAGGGCACCCTCCCGCTTGCCATGACCACCCCCCCCCAAAAAAAAGAATGGCCTTTCCCTCTCCAGCTGCTGGGACTCTCTTTGCAGGGCCATCTGACAGGGTGCTGTCCCTGTAGTCGAGGGACACACTTTCCTTTCCGGCTGTGCCACCCTCCACCCTGTATGCACACCCTGCTGTGTATGGGAGGGGGAGGGTCTCTTTTCACTGGCTGCTGTCTGGTTCCCACTGCCCTGCATCCTGCCCAGCTCAGCCCTCACCTCCTCCAAGAAGGCTTCTCTGACCACCGCAGTCTGTGTGGATCTTTTCCTTTAAGTTCCCCAAGCCCTTAGTTGTGACACTCCTCCACTGACCGTCATAAAGTGCTCTGTACTATTGATTATATTTTTGCGAATCTTTGCCGGTCTTCCCACCTACACGGGGGGTGTTGAGCACGGGGACTAATTTTTCACATTTGCTGCCCACCCCGCCCTGTGCCCAGCGCAGTGCTTCCTACACTAAGCACTGGCTCAGCACCCACTGCCCACCCTGGGTGCGGGCTGCTGATCTGCAGAATGGCTGCTGTGGCCCCGGCCATGCGTATGAGCCCTCACTCTCTCCACCCCCAGTGCGTTGGTGAACATCATGGCCCCGATTTTCACTAGGCCTGTGGCTGCCACCTGCTCTCAGGCTCAGGCTCCAGCCCCGGCCTGGAGAGGCCGGCCTGCAGGCTGGGCCATGGGAGGCAACCCTGGAGAAACAAGGTCCTGGGTTTGGGGGAGCTGGGCAGCCTTCCAGGCCAAGCGATACTGGCACAGGACGCAGAGCCCACTGTCTGGTTTCCGGGTCTTATCGGGATCTTATTCAAGTCATGTGCCGGCTTGCTTTTCTTTTCTGGAAAGAGCGATCCTGACCATGGGAGGCCCTTCTGGTGGTCAGCGTGGTCAGCTAAGGGACCTTTCTTTTCCATCCAGTGTTCAACGTGGGCGAGTACCGCCGGGAGGCCGTGAAGCAGTACAGCTCCTACAACTTCTTCCGCCCCGACAATGAGGAGGCCATGAAAGTCCGCAAGTGAGGCCCCGGCTGCAGTGGGCAGAGTGGGACGGGCGCTCTGTAGCACCAGGTTGGGTGAGAGAGAGGCAGCTGGTCCCCCTCCTTGTGTATCAGCATGAGCCTCTCGGCCTCTGAGCCTCACTGATCCCGCTGTCCGACAACAACATCTCATTAGGAGTGAACTAAATCATTTTCCTGGAAAATCATGTGTTTACGTTGGAAAAGGATTTTCTTTTCAGCTCAAAGTGACCAGGGAACTGAAGTGTGACATCTGCACTTTAGGATCACTTGGGAGCTGGGCACAGCCCTGCCCAGATGGGTACAGTGGGCATTTGTGGGCAGGACCTGGGCATCCGTGTTTTGAAAGCTCCCAGGGGAATTTCAGTGTGCAGCCGGCACGAGGCCGAGTCCCAAGTGCTGCAGCCATGTGTGCGGGGCTCCCATCGGGGGCCTCGGGCCTCGCATCGCGGGCCTCGGGCCTGACGGTCCCGCCTGCCTGAGCAGTTTAGCAGTAGAATCACAGGTCACCCTGCTCGTTGGGGTGAATTGGGGGTGCCTGCGCGTCCTCCTGCGATGGCCCGGCTCTGACGCGCCCATGCTCTTTCTGTGTGTTGCAGGCAGTGTGCGCTGGCTGCCTTGAGAGATGTCAAAAGTTACCTGACGAAGGAAGGGGGCCAAATTGCAGTAAGCCTGGAGTATAAGCCCTGTCTCCGATCCCAGCGGGATGGTGCCCTGGGAGGGAGGGAATGTAGTCAGAGCTGCGTGGGGACACCTCCAGTGGGGACAGGTGTCTGGCCTGAGCTGTGAGGGAAGCAGGGGGCAAGGGCAGCACAGGGACTCGGGAGGAATGTGATCGTCTGGCGGACTCGGGGGCGGGGCACAGGCAGCTGGACCTGGGGCGGCTGCAGCCGAGGGAGCCAGTGTCCCTTCCTTGTGCTCCCTCCCCTGCGTATGGCTGTTGTTCCTTTGCTTTAAGTTCTATTCCCATCCCTCCCCTTCCATCCTTGAGTGCAGGAGGAGGCAGTGGGGGGCCTGGGAGGGTGAGGTCTCTCCTGGAGCCCCAGGAAGTGTCAGGCCTGACCTCTGGTGGTTTGGTAAACGCTGTTCAACTCAAACTGGGCTCTGTTCACTGCCCTTCTTTCTCCCTGCCAGGTTTTCGACGCCACCAATACTACTAGAGAGAGGAGACACATGATCCTTCATTTTGCCAAAGAAAATGATTTCAAGGTGAGCCTGATTTCTCGTCTCGCCTCGGAGCGCGCAGGAGCAAGGGAAGTCCCGCAGGGATTGGCTGGTTCCTGTGTCTGGAGCACCTGTGCTCCATGCTCGGGCCTTCCCCTCCCGCTGCCTGGGTTTTGCTGCCTACAGATTGGGCCTGACTGGTGGGGGCTCTTAGGGGTTACAGCGACTAGGGAGGGGGAGGGGGAGCATCCCTCTATTGGGGGCGGGTGCAGAGGACTCAGGACTGAGTGGCTGGTTCCTTTTTCTGTATTTGGGGATTTATGAGTGGGGTCCTTTCTGCTCCAGTGTGGTAGTGACATCACAATGATACCAGAGTTGGCCCCTTGTGTTACCACATTTGTTGTTTCTTAGCGTTTCTGTCTTGCTTCGTCCCAGGTGTTTTTCATTGAGTCTGTGTGTGATGATCCTACAGTTGTGGCCTCCAACATCATGGTAAGACCCTTTGTAGTGTGCTAATCTGAGAAGAGTGAGGGACTGGGTCGGCCCAGAGAAGCCACCCTGAGAAAGAGCTGGCTCTCCCAGCTGGTTGTTGATTTTGTCTGAGGAGGGATCGGGGGGTCAGGAGTACAGAGTGGTATTTAACTTAAAAGCACATTCTGTGACTTGGACTGGCTTTATCAAGGTCCCTTCAGATGGTTGGCAGAAAGCTGTCTTTGTGGGACATAAGAGAGAAATTGGGGAACCTCGAACAGTTTCTGTTGGTGGCAGGAGCTTGGCATTTGGGGGGTGATGGGGCTGCTTAGGGCAAAGAGCACCTCACCCCTCTGGACGGGAAAGGAGGTAGCAGGCTGGTCTCTTTTGCTGTAAAGGCCCCTGGTAGGTAAGAATGGTTGTGTATTGACAAAAGCACATAGGACTCAGCGGACAGAAGGCAGAATTCCCGAATTTGGGAAGAATGTGGGTGGTTAAACCATCTTCCTGCTCCTCTCCCTGTACCAAGGGGAAGTTTCCTGGGTAAGTTGAGGGTAATTGGCAGTTTAATTTGATTAATTCTTAAATTTTATTTGATAGCAATAGCTCATAAACGGAAACAGTTACTATGAAGACTTCACCGCAGTTCCCTTTCTTATATCGTAGATAATTTCTTCTCCAGCTTAAATACATCAGAGTAAGACGTTACCTGTAAAGAAAAGCTGGTCCGACACTTCTACAGGGAGCGCTAGAGTTTGGCCGCCTACAAGTGCGCATCCTTTAAAGGGATGCTGGGAGTTAGTTAGCTTTTGGTGTTGGGCCTTTTCTCCAAGGCAGTGGGAATATTTACACTCATTTCTCAGAAATGAGTTCATATTTCAGGAAGAGCTATTGAAATGGTAGAAAATCAGTCCAGATTGGTTTCAGTGGCCCCAAAGGAAGAGGCTCAGAGTAGGAGGAAACGGAAGTTGCCGTGCTCTAAACAAAGGGTCTTGCTGTATTTCTTTGGTTTGGTTCTACCATTTCCACTTGGTAGGGAAGCAGAGTGCAGCTGCAGAATCGTATCCCCCAGTGAGCCGTCTACACTCGCTTTGGCCAGAAACTCTGTCTCATCCTCTGTGAATCCGTGGATCTGTTTGCCCCGACCCTCTCCGTGTTCAGAGATCTCTTTCTCTGATGAAGCCTCAAAGCAGCTTTGCAGTTTTTAGGCCTTTCTGTTGTGCTTTTTATGCAAAGGCTGTGCTGGAGAAAGGGGTTTGTGAACTGAGATTTTTTTTTAAATTGTGCTCAAATATACATAATATAAAAGGTACCATTTGGGCCGTTTTTAAGTGTTCAGCTCCGTGACACTCAGCCATTCACATTGTTGGGAAGCCATCCCCAGCATCCACCTCCAGAACTTCTTCATCTTCCCGGAACGTAACCGTGCACCCATGAAACTCCCCGCTGAACTCGGAGTTTGCAGCGTGCCTGCCTCTCTTTTATGGTTGTGGTCATCGTTGAGGACGAAAAGAGCACATGCATTAACACATCCTGGCAGTTTCCCTGAAATCTGCCAGGTTGCTCAGGCCTATTGGTCAGTTATAGGGGATGGCAGGCCCGAGGGCATTTCTCCTCCGTCTCTGTCCCATGAGAGCAAGCCTTGGGCAGGAGGACAGGACATGCAGTCCAGGCGGAGAAGCATCCATTGAGGACCGGTGACAAGTGCGTGCTGCCCCCACCTCTGGGCAGTGGAGGAGGAATCCTGCCTGGCACGTGGGACCAGGGCACCGCCAGCACCACCCGGTGCACTTTTGCTTACGGACAACCTCCGCTTGGTGGGGTGAACGCTGTAGGTGCTTATGGGGACTCAGCTGAATTGAAGGCCGGGTTGTCTGGTGGTGACCTGGCTCCTGGATTGATCCCGAATCGGGACCCATTCAGAGGGGCTCATTAGAATCTGCGTGGATTTCCTTCCTGTGTTCGCCCTTCCAAGCTGAGAGGCTCTGTCTGCCCTGGGTGCTCTCCCCGTGGAAGCATGGGGTTATGACTCAGCGTCCAGCCATATCTCCTTTTTTTTTTCTCTTAAAACGCTGGGTAGGGTCATCATCATTCTGAGCCCGTCTGTGCTTTTCCCCGTTTGCGAGCCCCAAATCCTGCTTCATTCTAAGCAGAAAGCCTTCCAGCGTGATTTATCAGCTGTCTCTTTGTGGCGTTACAGGAAGTGAAAATCTCCAGCCCGGATTACAAAGACTGCAACTCAGCAGAAGCTATGGACGACTTCATGAAGAGAATTAATTGCTATGAAGCCAGCTACCAGCCCCTCGACCCCGATAAATGTGACAGGTAATTCCTAAGAGGTGACCGTCTGAGCCACCTACTTCAGGGCTTTGAATATTATTCTTGATGTTCCCACGAAGCATTTGCTCCTGGATACTTTTATAAACTGTTTTTTTAAGTATCTTAAAAAAAAACTCTTGATGACATATTCGGTGTTGTAGACACTGTGTACAGGTGTGGAAAGGGAATATTTGAGCCCCGTCTTGCTCCTGTCCTTTGATGTTTCCCTTGCTTTCCTTTCCATCCTCTTGCTTTTCTTTCCCCATGCTCTGGGAGGCCAGCCAGCCTCTCCAGCGCTCACTCCTCTGCGGGAATTACAGACTTAGACCCCCTGACTCTCAGAGAAGAGAGGTTCCGTCTGTGTCCCCAGGAGCTGACACTGCGGATCGGTTGGGGCTGAGTCTCGGCAGTGGGGCTGGGGCGGCGTCGGGGCTTTGCCCCGGCTGTACTGTCCAGTGTTCTGACGTGCTGGTCGCCCTCCTGTGCAGGGACCTGTCCCTGATCAAGGTGATCGATGTGGGCCGGCGGTTCCTGGTGAACAGGGTCCAGGACCACATCCAGAGCCGCATCGTGTACTACCTGATGAACATCCACGTGCAGCCCCGCACCATCTACCTATGCCGGCACGGGGAGAGCGAGCACAACCTCCAGGGCAAGATCGGCGGGGACTCGGGCCTGTCCAGCAGGGGCAGGAAGGTAGGAGGAGTGCGGGGATGGGGCAGGAAGCCGAGGGATGGGGCTGTGTGTCCCTGTGTGCGTCTCTGTGTGTGTGTTTCCCTGTGTGTACATGTGTACATGTGCATGTATGTCTGTGTGTGTTCCTCTGGGTATGTATATGCACGTGTGTCTGTGTGTGTACGTATATGTGTCTGGGGAGGGTGGAGGGTCTCTTGAGCCTGTGGGGAGGGGTGTGTGTGTGTGTGTGTGTCCGAAGGGAGGGGGTACGTGTGCAGTGGCTGCTCCCAGGCCCCCCTCACCAGCAGTGAGGACAGTGTGGCCGACCCCGATGTGCACGGGGACGGGCCCTGCACTGTTTCTCTGGGAGGGAGGGGCAGAGCTGATGGTCCGGCGTGAGCCCCTCATCCCGTCCGCCGTCTCCCCCCCTCCCCCCAGTTCGCCAGTGCCCTGAGCAAGTTTGTGGAGGAGCAGAACCTGAAGGACCTCAGGGTGTGGACCAGCCAGCTGAAGAGCACCATCCAGACGGCAGAGGCCCTGCAGCTCCCCTACGAGCAGTGGAAGGCGCTCAACGAGATTGATGCCGTGAGTCCGGGGCCGGGAGCCGCTGGGAGTCCTGAGCGCTTCCCACCTGCAGGGGCTGCGCTGGCCAGGTCGGGGCGGCCGTGGCGGGTATTCCCTCCAGTGACCTCTGGGTATTCCCGCCAGGGTGTCTGTGAGGAGATGACCTATGAGGAGATCAAAGACACCTACCCCGAGGAGTACGCGCTACGCGAGCAGGACAAGTACTACTACCGCTACCCCACCGGGGAGGTGCGTGCCGCCCGCTCCCTCTGCGTCTCTGGCTCGGGCCTGTGTGCTCTGGGCAAGTGATGGGCAGCTGGCCAGGGTGCTGTGGGCAAGGAGCTGAGCTGGTCCTTCTGAGGCTACTGTGTCAGGCGAGGCTGTGGAGGGGTCTGCTAGGGACCCGGAGGGACCCGTTACTGGTGACTCCGGGGAGGAAGGGCCCCTGCGTCCACCCCGCTACCCTGTACCGATGCTCGCCCTGGCCCGTCTGCCTTTGAATCGAGTCTTCCCGAGTTGGACCTTGTAAACAGCTCCCAGAGAAGCACAGTTGTGTTTCCCACAAGCAGCAGGGACAGATGTCTTTCTCTAATGACGTACATGACAATTCAGGAAAGAAAAACAGTCCTGGATGGTGACTCACTGGACACAAGGGCCCCCTTGACTGTGGGCGACATGGCAGACACGTCAGCAAGTCACTTGTACTGACTCCATCGATGCTGGTGGAGGGACCCTTAGGCTGTGTAGCCCCCTCGGGCTGAGCGAGCAGCTGTCTGCAGCACTGAATGGAGAGTCCAGCTGTAGGCGGTGCCCTGGGGTCTCTGCAGGCTGGGCCTGGTGACACCCAGCGGGGGTGCTTTCCATCTGTGGTGCTTCCTTCCGCTCAGCGTGTCAGTTCCCTGGAGCCCAGGACACTGTCCCTGGTCCCTCCCAGGCCCTTGTTCCCTGGGACCTGCTTACTGAGAGAGGGGACTAGGGGTGGAGGGAACCTCGGTGGTCTTAAAGGTACAGGCCTACCCCTTCTTTTTCAATTTTCTTTTATTGAGATAAAACTCACATCATATGAAAGTCACCATTTTAACCAAAGTGTACAGGTCAGTGGTTTTTCTTATATTTCACAATATCGTGCAGCTATCACCACTAATTCTAGAACATTCCATCGCTCCATAAATAAACCACAGCCTTTTAGCAGTCAGTCCCAGTTCCTCCTCCCCAGCCCCCGACAACTGTGAGTCTACGTTCTGTCTCTGGAGTTCCCTGTTCTGGACGTTTCACGTCAGTGGAATCGTACACCCTGTGGTCTTTCACTCTGTATAACGTGTTCAGGGCTGTTACGCGCTGTAGTGTGTGTCAGGGTCCCGTTCCCTCACTTCCCTGGTGGAGGGTGAGGGTCAGGAAGGAGCAGTGAGAGGGAGAGGGCAGTTGGGGTGGGTCCCCCAGTGCCCGGGAGGAATGCAGCACACTGATGGTGGCGGAGGGGGGGAGGTTGATGGAGGATCCATCGTGTGGTCTCTGGTTTATGAGTGGGAGAGGTGTAGCCACGGATGCCGGGCTTCTGCTCCAACTTGGTGCCCCGTCCCTCTGCCTTGCAGTCCTACCAGGACCTGGTCCAGCGCCTGGAGCCGGTGATCATGGAGCTGGAGCGGCAGGAGAACGTGCTGGTCATCTGCCACCAGGCCGTCCTGCGCTGCCTCCTGGCCTACTTCCTGGACAAGAGTGCAGGTGCCTGGTCCTCCAATGCATCCTCTCCCGGGAGGTCAGGGGTGTGGGGAGCCAGTCACAGCCCCCCCAAAGGAGAGAGGGAAAGGAAACTGGCCTTAGAGCTGGGGTAGCCTGCTGCCAGGGGTGAGGAAGGGCTGCGTCCCCTCCGCCTTCCCCCGCCTAGCGCTTCCTTGCAGCCCCTGGAAGACACTCAAGCAGTTTGATGCTGGGTGGGCTTAATGGCTTCGAGAACCAGCCTCCCGGAAGCCCTGTGTCCCCACGTCTCAGGGGCTGTGGGTCGGGTGGGGAAGAGGCAGCCCACCTCTAAGGAGCTAATAGCCCAGAAAACTCTGACGTTACTCTTAACACTTAAATGTGGATCCTGACACCTAAATTGTTTGGGAAATTGACTCTTTTACTCCGGCTCATTGTGCGAGGGTTTGGGTTTGCTTCGGTTCTGTTCTTTGTAGGGCCGCCTGCCTCGAGCACAGCAGGCTGGCGGCCGGGTTGCGGGAGTTGAGGGGGGGACACCCTGCCCAGTGAGGCCTCTGCAGGTGGTCCCCATGTGGCAGAAGCTCTCACTGAGGCCTGGGAATGTCCCCCGTCAAGTCTCCGGTCTCACCGTGGGCCCTTCTCTCCTTCTCAGAGGAGATGCCCTACCTGAAGTGCCCCCTTCATGCGGTCTTGAAGCTGACGCCTGTCGCTTACGGTGAGTGTGGTGACGCAGCCGCTCCGAGACCCGTCTCCCTGGCGGGGTGGCGGTGAGGCTGTGAGCGCGGGGCCCCTCTAACCGGTAGCTCTTCCCTTCCCTGCCCTTGCCCAGGCTGCCGAGTAGAATCCATCTATCTGAACGTGGAGTCCGTGAGCACGCATCGGGAGAGGTCAGAGGTGAGTGCGAGCTCGCTGCCCCCCACCCCACCCCCGCACACTCCTGCCCTGTCCTCCTTCTGGGAAAGATGCTGCCAAGCGGCGGCACCAGTGGGCGCCAGCACTTGGGACGCCCCCCACACCCCCGGCGGTTTGCTTGTAAAGGCTGGCTGTGTCCGTCGGTGGATTCTGTCTCGTTTGGAACAGTGGCCTTCGTGACGGCCCTCCCTCTCCTCAGCATCTGTGTGCTCCTACCTGCCCGTCTGGTGGCTTCTCGGCATCGTCTTCCTTTTCTTTCTTGCCATGCTGCTTCCCCCACCACTTGACCCGAGAAGTGAGTGTTGAGAAGGAAGACATTCTTGCTCTTTTAAACGTAACCGTAGCCCAGTTACTGTTACCTTTTCCTCCGGGGCAGCTAAACGATTGCAGGTTCCAGAGTCACGGAACCCACAGATCCACTCAGTCATCTGCGTGCACTCAGGTCCCGGATTCCCACGAAGACAATAAGAGTGAAGAAGGGGTGGGACTGGGAAACACAGCTGTGATTCGGGAGTTAGCCATGGGAGCAGTGGCGGGTGGAATGATTTTCCAGGAGACCCCAATGCCTGGCCACACCTGACCCCCGCCTCTAGGGTGGGGTCTGGAATTCGGTGGTCAGCACTGTCCCAAGGGCAGTGCAGGGTTCTGCCCAGGCGTACATTGCGAAAGAAAGTTTGAATTTACTCTATACCGACTGTCAAACTCCAGCTCTCTGCCAGCATCAGTCCGACCCTTTCTTTTACACCGAGTGTGATGTTCTTGTCCCTGTTCCCAGGGAGCTTGGCCAGAGGATTTTGGCATTAAAATCCCAGCTCCCATGGCAGTTGCCTGGCTGGTTGACCGAAGTGAAGGTGGACGGCTTCCCTTGGCTGTGACGGCACCTCCTGGGCTGGGGTGGCAGGATGCGCGTTTGCCCTCCTTCCAGGAGTAGCAGCCTCCCCGCTGGACTGCCAGCAGCCGGGTTCTTGGGGTTGGGCCCGAACTGGGCTCTGGTGGCCCCTGAACACTTCACTTGTTCAGAGCAGGGCAGGCAGGGGCTTGCTGGAGACAGACCCCAGCTCAGGCTCCTGGGCCACGAGCTACAGAGTGACAGGTCCTGGGGGACTTCAGAGGTCCCCACTCCACTGGAGTTGTCACTTTGTCGGAAGGCTGGTGTTGGGCCCTCGCGGTTTCCTGCGTCTTTGGTCTCCTGGCTGGGGGAGGCTTGCGTTTCCTGTCCTAAGCTGGGTGTTCTCGCTGGCAACAGGAGCTGTGAAGATCCTGGCTTGAGGTCAGTGGGAGGGGGTCCAGCACCACACTTGCTCACCTGCTGCCCCCAGCGGTCGCCCAAGCCTCACGCCCAGGACCCCTGCCTCTGTGTTCTTGGAGGCTGGCAGCAAGGTCCTTCTTCTGATCTCTTCCCTGCTGTAACTGCATCACTGTCTGTGCAGAACCGTCCTGCTCGTCCTCCCTCGCCTGCTTTGCAAACATCGTGTCTGTCTGAGTGGGTGTCTTGGAATGATCGGGTAGGGGGTTCGGGAGGAGAGATCATCCCTTGTTCTTGCCGAGCGCTAGACACGGGACGAGCCAGCAGCCCCTCGGTCCACCTGTTCACCGTGGTCGGGCTTGTGGTCTCAGTGAAATCCGGAAGCAGAGAAATGTGTTTGGTTTGGTTTTGGATTTTTTGTTTTGGCTTATTGACTTCCTTTTCCTCGTAACTGTCGCCTTCTCTCTTTTGTCTTTGTCTTGCTTAGGATGCAAAGAAGGGACCTAACCCGCTCATGAGACGCAATAGTGTCACCCCACTAGCCAGCCCCGAGCCCACCAAAAAGCCTCGCATCAACAGCTTTGAGGAGCATGTGGCCTCTACCTCCGCTGCCCTGCCCACCTGCCTGCCCCCGGAGGTGCCCACGCAGCTGCCCGGACAAGTGCGTTGACCCCCTTCTCCTTCCTGAGTCGAGTCTCGTGCAGGGTGGGGAGAGCGTGGCTGCTGGGGAGGAGTGTGCCCGGTGGGGCGGTGGCGGCCTCAGACCCAGGCCCGCTTGGGGGTGTGCGGGAAGAGGACACGGATGCCGCTCTGAGTGTGGGACCCCCGGATCCGTCCTTGAGACCTTGGCTGTGCGTGCATACGCCCATTCTGGGGAGGTGGTGTTCCCCGGGCAGAACCAGGCAGAGCAAAGAAATGGCCGAGTGTCTGCGATCCATTCACATTGGTGAACAGTTTCTTCTAAAAGTTGAAGGCAACCCCCAGTTCAGGAGTCTCCATCCAGCTCTGGGCTGTTGGCATCTGTGTGTCCCGGGGACGTCTTTTCTGTCCCCATGCTGAGTATTCTTCCTCACTTGCTCCCTTGCCATCGTTCCCCGTTAGAGAAAAGCTCTTGTCAGATGGGGCCCTGGGAGCGTGTATGGAGCCAGCATGGCCGGGCTAGAACCCGGGCCGGAGGACCTGGAATTAGCCACTTTCTCCTATAACGTAGTAAAAAACCCCAAAGCAGAAAACCAATTAGATTTCATTCTTAGGTTATTTCATTCGCTGTGATGGTGCAAGGCTAAAAGATACTGGCTACTGGGCATTAAGATTTTTTTTCAGAAAACCACCCTTTTCCTCAACAACACCCGAGAATCCTGGCCAGGATGTGAGACGTAGAAATCCCTGGGCACAAATTTGGGTCCCACGCAGTGGTCTCCCCCACCTCCAACCCGCCACGCCTGGCCTCTGACACAGAAATCACAGGCTCAGGTTCGAATTGGATTTGTTAATGAGCTGGGTGCTGAAGGCCCACAAGCTCTTCCTGCGTTTCCCCCAAAACGCATTTAAACTGTGTGTTGTCTGAAAATGTGTTGTGTGTGTGTGTGGGGGGGTGTTGTGCAGCCCCAGCAGGCCATCGTACCTCTTCAGGCCTCAGTTTTCGCATCTGTGGAATGGGGGAGCAGCAGCTACTGCCGAGGGCTGATCAATGGGGTGATCGTGCTGAGACTCTGACATGGTGGTATCTGCTCCTGGCGCCGGCTCTGGGGTTTTACTGTCAGGTTCCGTCATCTCCCCGGGCCTTCAGTCTCCCTGTTTTGTAAAATGAGGGAGGTAGACTGGCTGGGAGATGTCTAATTAGTGCTCCTTTCAGGTCTAACGTCAGAGGTGCTTTTTATGAAAACTGAGAACTGAAGTGGTGTGTCAGTGATATCCTGCGTTGGTGTAAACGGTGGGGTCATAGTTGGAATGTTAGAGGCTGCAGTCACAGACGCCGTGGGGACCGGCCGGGCGGGGGTTGGGCAGTGTGCAGGGCCACTGGCTGGCCAGGCCGGGAGGGTCCAGGGCTCTGTCCCCGCGGAGGCTGCCTGGTCCCCGATGACCTGGGCCCTCACCCTGTCCCTCAACTGACTCTCTCTCCCACCTTTTCTCTCTGCAGCCTTTGCTAGGGAAAGCCTGTTTGTAAGTATTTTTCTCTGAATACTTTTGCTTTTTGCATCTCTTTCTCCTTGCTTGCCAGTTTGGCCTCCTACCTGTTAAAAGTGTTGAGGGTAATGCCAGTTTCTGTGAAATCTGAAGGAGGAAGATGGGACGGGAGGAAGAATAAGGGATTCATGGATTTTCAGAAAAGGATACAGGAAGTCGCCGGGTTTTTGGTGCATCCTCCTGCTGCCGCGGCCACTGCGGGGCCGGGGCGATTGTTAGTATTTGCAGTGCTTGGTGGCTGGATGTCTATCTACTTTTTCCCTCTTAGAGTCAGATTTTGGCGGGAGCTGGGTTTGTGCCTACTGATGTTGTCTTTTAAGTTCTGGGCCTCTCCCGGGAGAGCCCTGGAAAGTTTACCCAGAGCCTAACCTGCAAAACAAAGAGTGGAGGACCCAAGCCTCTCCCTCCTGTCCTGGCAAGGATTCCCACCTTCAGGGGCTCCGGGACCCCCAGGCTCTGGAGAGTTCTGTTTGGGAGCCATCATTCTGCATCGGGGTGTCCTGTATCACAACCTGCTCGACGTTTACGGTCACGTTCAGGATGGGGTGCAGCTTTCGCTCTGCAGAGAGTTCAGTGTTACCAGCCGCTGGATCATCCAGCGCTTTCTCTGCTCCGGCGGCCCCAGCCCCAGAAGGAACTGAGGCCTTTATGTTGCAGAGTTTTAATAAGAGATACCCTGAAATATCATCCCCAACGCCACGAGTCACACCCACCCCGCGTCCCTTTCGCTGGTTAGGCTACCTGGACTAATTCGCGCAGAAACGTGGCTTATTCTTGGAAAATAGGAGCTGTTGGGCATCATGCTTGGACTAGGTGGTACCACCTGTTGAGAAATATATTTCATCACTTTACGGCTTATACACATCCCGAGTCTTTGGTCCTTAAAATACAACCCCAGGAGGTCGCAAGGCAGTTCCTGTCCCTGTTGCCCAGATGAGGGTGAGTCTCTCGCCCACGGTCACCCAGCTGGTTTGTAGCAGAACTAGCCCTTGAATGGGTCTCCCAGTCCCAAAGGCTGGCTGTTTTCTCTCTGCTGGTTTCCAGAACACCCAGGGTCCCGTTCACCTGCCTATCCTGGGCACCTGACGATTGCAGCCTGTGGGGCGTGGCCCCGAGCTGTTCAATTTCCTTTCTCTTTCTTGCAGCCTCTCCCCTGCAGCTGCTTCCCGTGGCTGAGATGTGTTTATTTAATGGTGGGCCTGCCCGTTGAGTTCAGTCTTTAAGAGTAACAGTCCCACGTCCGTTACCGCCTTGACACCAGGCATTGCACCCAGGATGCCCTGGGATCAAGAGTTCTCCTTGTGTGAAAACTAGCCTTTGGGTTTGGAACCTTATGGTTTTGCATCTGTGTGTATCCTGTTCCTTCTGACCCGTGGCCTGATGCTGCCAGGAGAGAAATCTTCTTGCTGGGAGGGGGCCATTCAGGCACATCCCCCAATCCTCTAAGGTTGAACTTGGCCATCTCTAAGGCTAATGATGCCTGTAGCCAAAATCCCTTCAGTTCAGCAAAAATGTGTTCTCTGGACCCATCACATCTGCATCCACTCAGGTGTCCCAGCGTCCAGGTGTTTTGATGATGAGAATATGGATGTAGCACTTAGCAAGATACCTGACGTGTGGTCAGGGCCTGGTGCACAGTAGCTGTTCCCGTGGGAGATGTGATGCCCTGTGCTTTGGTGGTTACATCCAGGGCTCTCTGGTCTGTGTTCCCTCCTGCACAGGCCAGGGGGATTTCTCCTCGTGGGCAGCAGGAGCGCCTAGGGACTAGGGAGTGGGGTGCCCCTGGGGTCTTAGGGTTGTGGCCCGAGGATGCCAGTGATGGTGGTGCTCTGGTAAAACAGGCACGACAGCCAGGTGGGACTCAGCGCCCACCCTGCAGTCCACTCTCCACGGGCTGCACTAGGGCTGGGGACCAACGGACCATCTGGCCCTCACGATGCATCCTTGACTTTTAAATTTCAAATGCACACTAAGAAGAGAATCCTACTAAAGATGTCTTGTTTTGTTTTTCTTTCCCAACATGTTTCTTCCTCCCCCCCCCCATGCTTGAAAGACGAACTGTCTGTCATATTTTCTCAAAGTTTTCTCCTTACTAACCTTGGAAAGGTAAATGGCTCCGTGCATGCCCTCCTGTCCCCTCCACGTCCCTCTGGGTCATGGCATCTCAGCCCTTGGGGCGTCTCAGTCTGCGTGAAGACTGGCCATTGTGAAGTCTGTGACTCATACACCCTGTGCCCCAGAACTTGTGTGCCCCATTGTCTTGAGATCCTCCATGTGTCCAGAGCCAGGGGCACCATGAGCGAATGACGTGGCCTGTGCCTGTGGTCCCCCGTGTCATCATTGCATTGCCATCATTCGTGGGTGCTCCAACCTTGGGCATGAGGTGTCCCAGGGTGGGTGGGAGCCAGCACTTCCATCTCTGACCCCACAAGTTGACTGGGTCCTCTCTGGCTGCGAGGCTGGGGGCCTCCCCAGGAGACACCCCGCTCACAGGGGCTGTCTGATGCACTCGTGGTCGGAGGGTCGGTCACCTGGGCTCCTGAGTCCGGCTGAGAGTGGGCTCAGATCAGGCACTGGCTTCCGTGCTGCCAGCCCTGCGATGGTCCTCTGTAGAGATTCTCCACCTCAGCCCCCCGGTTCACGCGGGAGGGGAGTGAGCCTTGGTGATGCTTACATTTCTGTCTGCCTGGGTTTCACTCTCCCTGCCACCCCTTTGAGACAGTCTTGGTGGAGACACTCAGGATGCAAGAGAACACTTTTAAAGATTCTGCTTCCCTATCCTGCAGGGTGGCTTAGTAGGGAGAGTAGGTCAAGAGACTGCTGCTGTGTGGTGGCAGCCATCGTCTGTGCCCAGCTGATTGAAAAATATTTTTTAAGGGGGTTTTGGTACTGGCCAGCATCTTTGGGGTGGGGCTTCTGGGTAGGATTGCTTTTATTAGAACGGGGTGAGAGCTTTACTGACACATGCCTTCTCTGCACGGCTCCCTTGCTTGAGTTCCAGCATCTGAGCTGTGTTCCTGGAATCCAGGTCCCTAGATCTGTGGTATACCCTGCTGGGAGGAGAGTCCTGATGCTTCTCCAGATTTAACCCCACCCCCACTCCTTCCTCTGCCTGACAGCGAAGCCAGCAAGAGTTTCCCGGGTTGGGGCAAGGGTAGCCTTGGGCTCTAAAGCGTCGTGAGCCGGGGGCGGCGGGGGGTGCCTAGGTGCTGGCACCCAGTGCTCCCCAGGACAGCTGTGACCCACAGGAGCTGCCTGCCCTCCCCTCCCTGCCTCCCTGCCTCCTTCAGGCAGATGTCAGGGGCCCTCCCGGCCCTTCTCCCCTGGGACCCCCGGGCTTAGCCTCCACCACGTTCCTGGGCCACTGTTTGGTAATGACGCTCTTCAGAGCCGTGTTCTTTGTTGGGGAGAGGGGGGCACGCCTCAACTGCATGGCTTTTGTCTTTGCTTTAGAACCCTAGTCAACAGGAATGGTAACCGGCTTCCCCGTCTTTTCTCCCAAAAGCAGAACATGAAAGGCTCCCCGAGCGGCGCAGAGGCCTCCAGGACGCACTGACGCAGCCCCGCCCGGCGCCCCGCCCTTTCGCTCCCGCAGCTTTGCTCCTGCCCTTCTGTCTGCCCAAGGCCAGCGATCCCGAGGACATCTCCCGGAGGGCGGCGTGGAGGAGGGGCTGCTGCTCCAGGAGGACCGGGCCCCCGCCTGCCTGCGCTCCCCTGGCCTTCGGGCCACGCGCCCCACGGACCCCTTGAGGCCCGGGAAGGACGATGTGCAGTGGAGGCGGGACGGCGGCGCCTCCCCGTGGGCTTGTTCATCTCGTTTCTGGACCTTCCCTGCTGCGGAGATGACACTGCCCCGAGTCCTAACCTTAAAAGGGGCCTGGATCTCAGCTGCTGAAGGTTAAGAGACACTGAAGACTTTCAGAAGGCTCTTGGTGCCTCTCGGCCTGGACGTTGCCTCCTGCAGGGAGCCCTCGGCCCGTGCTAGGTTGGGGTCGGCCGGGAGAGCCCGGAGCTGGACCTGCTGGTCAGCCAGGCAGCGACCCTCCGCGTGTCGCTCACCCTCCCGGGTGTGTGTCCTGTCTCTGAAGATGGTGTGGGACCGTCTAGCTGCGGAGGCAGGAGGAAATACGTTGCCGAAAGAAAACCGGGGCCTCGCCTCCCAGGGAAGGCTCCTGCCTGGATTCGAGGCGCCTGGGACACGGCTCTCCCGGGGCTGCTGGCTCGTGCACTTTTTTTATGGCAGAGTGTGACCTGAAAGTCACACCTTCAGGAACTTAGATGTTTGCATTTTGCGCCCTTGGGGTTGGAGCTCTGAAAGTATGTGGGAGTTGGGCAGCCTGTGGGGAGGGGAGGGACCCCTCACCCCGTAAAACGGCCGGGGAACGAGGGCCTGGCCTCCTCCTTTGGGGCCTTCATCACCTCCTGTGTTTCCCTGGTGGGGCCAGTGGCCCAAGCCAGGCCTCGCTCGCGGCCACTTCCTCTGAGAGCCTGGCTGTCCGCTGTCTCCTGACAGGATTCAGCTCCGTTCCCTACGCTTGTCAAGCGTCTGCTGTGTGCCCAGCATGGAGCTGGGTGCCTTGGGAGATTCTGGAGGAGAGAATGTCCTCGTTTGCCTTCATGGCACCTGTGGCATTTTGGGGGCGTGGTTCAAGGCAGGGCTTGTGAACACGTGGTTCTAAACACCTGTAGTTTCCGCCTGCGGGTTTTCCTCTGAGGCCTCCGAGGACTGGGGGAGGGGGGGTGTTTAGGCCCAGGAGGATGGATTTGGGCTCAGCAGTAGAGTTTGTCCAAATGACCCTTTTCAGGATTTCTGAAAGCCGGTGCCAAAGGTCACCTTCCCTTCCCTTCCTGCCTTCTGCTTTGGGGTCCCACATCTTTACCCCTCTTAGCTTGTGCAGTAGTCACTGGGGGTAGAGGCAGGGGCGTCTAGACAGCTGGAGCTGGGAGTGGGGAGAGGAGCTGTTTTGGGGTTTTTGTTTGAGAGGAGCTCGTAGAAAAATGCACGTTCCTCTGGTTGGGAGAAATGGGAACACCATTCAGACACCCTACAATCAGGTTTGTGGGTTTCACACAAAACCATTCAAATCCTCCCTTCCCTTAACTGGCCATCTTCCCAAGACGATGTCTCTCTCTACATTCCGTGCAAGACTGGTTACTTTCTCACTTTCTCGCTGTCTTGTCAGACGTGTGTGTGTGTGTGTGTAGGTTTGTGTTTTTAGACGGAGGGGCCTGCAGCTCTGCTCTTGAGAATGGCTCTCTTATGTCCACCTTTTGGTTCCTTCTCTGGTTGTCGGAGCTGACCTTGAATTTTGACTCTTCTGGCTGGTCTGAGTGGGGTCTTCGTGAAGGTGTGTCCCCCCTTGCCTCTGACTGCCCGAAATCAGTGCATCCACAAAGGATGCGCTTGGCCTAACCCGGGACCTTGGTTTTCAGGAGCCCCAGTGGGGAGAGAGAACATCAATACGGGCGGGGAGGGGAGATGGGGAGAGGGCGGAGGCTGGGAGACTGGAGACCAGGGGCCTGACATCTGAGGAGGGAGGAGGTGGACAAGGGTGTGTCTGAGCCACGGTCTCAGGGCTTCTGCAACGCCGACCATTGACTCTCACTCCCTCACCCCCCGGAAAACATCTGGGACCAATATTTTTAACTTTGCATGTTTGTTTTGGGGGCAGGCTCACCCCTCTCCTCCTTCTGTCCTGAGACTGTGGGCGAAGCTCTTCGTTTGGGGGCGGGGGGGAAGAAAGACTGTTGGAACCACGCCAATGACGTTTTCGTTTCTAATACTTGAAATTTATTTTTTTATTATTTTGATAGCAGATGTGCTATTTATTTATTTAATAAGTATAAGGGATCCTGAAGACAGAAAGCTGTATAGTTTGGGTCTTGTTAGTTGGTTGGCTTGGGGGCCTTTTACGTGTGATTTCTGACTTCTCTGTTCTGTATACATTTGTCTGAATTAATTACCCGGGATGAAGCTGTGCCAGCTTTCAAACAGGGGATGCCTGTCGGAAATTTGTATATTTTGCAGTTGCCAGAACAATAAAATACCTGGTTGAAATACACAGATGAAGTGTGTCTCTGGTCCTTTTTGGGGGGTGGGGAGGAAGAGTCTTTAATCACACTTGGGGTCAGTACATCAAGTTTCTACCACTCGGCCCCATCACCTTCCTTCAAACAGGACTTGCAGGGAATTCCCTGATGGTCCATTGGTTAGGGCTCTGCGCTTCTACTGCAAGGCCCCTGGGTTCGAGCCCTGGTTGGGGAACTAAGATCCTGCAGGCCGTGCGGCGTGACCAAGGAAAAAAACAAAACGGGACATGCAGATTCTGATTGCCTAATGTCTGCATTTGCAAAACAATGTTGTGTCACCTTTAAAAAAAAAATGAATAGCCTTTATTTTTAGAGCAGTGTTAGGTTTACAGAGAAGAGCAGGTAGTACAGAGAGTTCTTGGATACCCCCAGGTCCAGGTATATGTCTCCCCTGTTATTAGCATCTTGCATTTGTGGTGCATTTGTTACAACTGATGAGCCAATATTGATGCGTTATTATTACTTAGAATCTATGGTTTCCACTAGGGCTCACTCTGTTGTGTGGTCCTGTGCGTTTTGACAAACACGTACTGATATGTATCTACCATCACGGCATTCAGAATGCCATCCATCCCTTCCCCCAGCCCCTTCAGTCAGCAGCTGTTCTTTTTTATTGATTTATTTATTGATTTATTTGGCTGTATCTGGTCTTAGTTGTGGCGCGTGGGCTTCTCTCTTGTGGCGTGCCAGCTCCAGAGCACGAGGGCTCAGTAGTTGCGGCACGTGGGCTCTCTAGGTGTGGCGCGCGGGCTCTACAGCGCTCAGGCTTAGTTGCCCCGCAACATGAGGGATCTTAGTTCCCCGACCAGGGATCGAACCCACATCCCCTGCATTGGAAGGCGGATTCTTAACCACTGGACCACCAGGGAAGTCCCAGTCAGCAGCTGTTCTTATACAAGCCCTGCAGATGGTGTTGGGGCCCTGGGTAGAATCACAGGAAGGCATTTCATCTTAGGTTCTTGGTCCCTTTCACTTCCCTGCCCTTCCTCCCACCCCCTTGTAGCCCCTTCCAAGGTTCCAATGGGAAGAGATTCAATCCAACTTCCAGGACCACTTTGCCACAACTCAAGCCTGTCATTTTGCTTCAGCATCTTCATCTCTGCGATGAGGGGACTTCCTCAGGTGAGTACGGGGCTGGGTGAGGACATGCGTGTGGTTATAAGGCAGCACTGAGCACCCCCATCGGGCACGGCCTTTGTGACCCGCAGGGCTCTCACCGTGTCTGATTTTTTTTTTCTTTTGTCCACAGCCCCACTGCTACGCTCCAGAAATAGCCCTCACTCCCAAATTAGTCCTTCTGCATCCCATACGCTTTCCAGCCCTACCTTGTGAAGAGAGTAGGACTCAGCAGTTTGGCACCTCCACTGTGAAATGACTTCGGATGTTGTCACCCATCACCGACGTGACGGGGCACAGTGCTCATTATGCATTGGGTTCAGGGCTTAGAGAGGCAGCTTTCACCTTTCACTTCATTGGAAGGCTGCCCTAACAGGATATGTACATAGTTTAAAGTCCCAGGCCTGTTGGGAGATGGGAATCCATGACAGTTCTGTGGCCTTTTGGGCAAGCTGAGAGTCATCTGTGCGACCGTGACTGTTATTGAAAAAATACTGAACAATGAGTCACCGGGTGGACGCATGGTGGGTGAAGGGGTGCAGAGAGCTGCAGGAAGGTGAATGCTGGAAGGACACTCACTATGGAGGGTCTAGAGCAAGACTGTGGCTCTTTGTACCAGGAAAACCAAGTGAGGAATTCCCCAGTGCGGATAAAGTCATTCTGTCAAACAGGAACAGCTGCAACACCTAAGACTTAATGGTCTTAAGGAGATCCTTACGTGGCCTGAGGGGTGAGGCAGTTCCTGTCTGCTGTCTGCTGTTTTGCAGATGGAGAATCCGACACTCGCCAAAGGTAAAGAACTTCCCCAAGGCTGCTTAGCAGGTGAATTTCAAGGATTCAAATCCAAGTGCCTGGGACACTAAGGTTTGTGGCTTTAACCGTTGTAAAATTTCCCCTCCACAGATTTCTGGTCTCTCCAAGTTAATGGGAGTTAGCAGTGGAACAGGTGAGAGGTCAGGTCAGTTTCAAGCTGTTTGCCTGCTGGGCTGGGAGGCATGGGCCGTCTTCCCGCCTTGCTCCCTGCGGTGCCCAGCTGGTGGTGGCCGGACGGTCAGGGTCTTCAGGAGAAGGTGGGCGCCCTGGTCCAGATTCTGGACTCCCCAGGTAATATCCAGAATCCGCCTTGCTAATCTTTCCTCCCAAGAAATTGACTAGCACCTTTAAGAGGCAACAGATCACACGGTTGCATAGAGGATGCCTCGTGGGGTGGGGAGTGGGCATGCGTGCTTAGGGAAGAGTTGCTGCAGCAAAGTGACCTGAGTGAACAGAGCTGGTGGCATCCTTCTCGAGGGCGGGCTGTGCCTGCATTCTTCATGCTAGGTGCTCACACCTGCAGGCCCGGGCGGCTGGCAGGAGCCTCCAGCCAGATTGATTCTCATCTCACTTTGCCCTTGGCTCACTCTCCACTTTTCCCACCAGCACGGTTGAGAGTCTCTTAACTTGGAATTACTTAATAAACTAGCGGGAGAATTGGCCAACTATTTGGGACGAAAAAGCTAATCAGATCATGTGTTGCACCGTCCATCTAAGTGTTTTTTAAAAATCAAGCTAGGGCTTCCCTGGTGGCGCAGTGGTTGAGAGTCCGCCTGCCGATGCAGGGGACACGGGTTCGTGCCCCGGTCCGGGAGGATCCCACATGCCGCGGAGCGGCTGGGCCCGTGAGCCATGGCTGCTGAGCCTGCGCGTCCGGAGCCTGTGCTCTGCAACGGGAGAGGCCACAACAGTGAGAGGCCCGCGTACCGCAAGAACAAACAAACAAAAACAAAACAAAAAAATCAAGCTATTAACAAAGGAGAAGAAAATGTTGGTGAATATCTAATTTTTGGTTGGACAAAGACCAGGCTTAGAAGCAATAAGATTAACTACAAAGGAAATACTGAGATTCCACACCCTGTGAACATTTTAAGTTCAATGTCATAGAAAACCTTGAACATGAGTAAAAGGAAAACAACAGGCTAACAGATATTTGCAACAAATCCCCAAGTTTTTCTAAAATATAAATTGGAAACACATCCAGAGCAGTAAGAAAAACATGGAGACTCTTCTAGATCCTTGGACAAAGGCTTTTATTTAATCCTTACCATTTAAAGATGTGGCAACTGACGTTTGCTGGAGTTAAAAGTTCTTTTTTTTAATAAATTTATTTATTTATGTTTGGCTGCATTGGGTCTTCGTTGCTGCGTGCGGGCTTTCTCTAGTTGCGGCGAGCGGGGGCTACTCTTCGTTGCAGTGCGTGGGCTTCTCATTGCGGTGGCTTCTCTTGTTGCGGAGCGCGGGCTCTAGGCATGCGGGCTTCAGTAGTTGCAGCACGTGGGCTCAGTAGTTGTGATTCGTGGGCTCCAGAGCACTGGCTCAGTAGTTGTGCTGCCCGGGCATAGTTGCTCTGCGACATGTGGGATCTTCCTGGACCAGGTCTCGAACCCATGTCCTCTGCATTGGCAGGTGGATTTTTAACCACTGTGCCACCAGAGAAGTCCCTGGAGTTAAGTTCTAATGGTTGTTTTAACAGATTCAGTTGGAGCTCACATTTTTTTGACACAGTGTGAGTAGTTTGGGTCAAGTCTTCAGCCAGTGCATTGATGGCTTAGGCACTGGTTTCGACCCACAGGTTCTGACATACAACTAAGATCATGCTCAGAGGGAACTCCCATGAAGACAACAGAAGCATGGGGGATTAAGAGGTGCAAACTCTTATGTATAAAATAAATAAGCTACAAGGATGTATTACACAACACAGGGAATATAGACAATATTTTATAATAACTATAAATGGAGTATAACCTTTAAAAATTGTGAATCACTATGATATACACCTGTAACTTATATAATATTGTACATCAACTATATCACACAAAAAAAGTAAAAAAGAAAAAGACAGCAGAAGCACAAAACAGAGTACTTCAGCCACTTAGGACTAAAGGGGGCCCTCCGCACACTCCCTGAGAGATGTCTTTGCATGTATTTAATGGTGTGGACGTCCATGGAAGAAGCCTCATTTTTTTCACGCATTAGCCACACAAGATTCAACGTCTAGGGTGAAATGAAGCCCAGGGACAGGCTGGCTTGGTGGACTGTTAGAACCTGATGGTGGTGGGGATGAGGGTGGGCAGTGTGCGGACGTGTCCCCCATATATAAGATATTTCATAACGTTGCATTGTCAATAAGTGCTCTACACCGGGGGTGCGAGCCGTCCATTTTCAGTTCCTTGAGGCCTAAACTTCAGCTGCAGGCATCAGAGCAACTCTGCCTCTGACGTCGGGTTAACTGCGCAAAAGATGTCTCATCTGGATATTCTGACACCTACATTTGGTGCACAGAGGGGTAGAGGGGGCACTCAAGGCCTGGGTGGGCTCAGTTTATTTTCAGAAATCTGTGCCATGTGGCAGAATCAAGGGGAGAGGGGAGACTACCAGCCCAGTGCAGTGAATCGATAAGATGACCTCAGGCTTTGGAGAAAGATAGTCCTGGGTTCACTTCTGTCCTCCCACGTTCTTGATGTGTGGACCTGGACAAATCACTTTATATTTTTAACTTGTTCCCCATCCGTAAAATGGGGGAACTCATACCATATTTTCCGTAGAATACACCATCAATTTATTAACTTTTCCTACAAAAGAGAACTAACCACATGCACAACCAATGCAAGACAAAATTCAATTTTGGATGTGTTAAATGTAGACCAAAAGTCTCCTTAGAAGTGCAGCAATACTGTAATGAAGTTTCAGGCTTTTGTGAGGACTAAATCTTATACATGAAGAGCCCTGGACAGTTCTGCCATAGAGTAAGCACTGGAATGGCTGTTATTAATCTAGTCACGGGTGCCGGGTCCTTTAAATGCAAAGTCGATGCTGTGGA